CCCTTCCCTCACCCCCAACCCAACCCCCAACATCCATAGGGGCGCCGACTCCCTCGCCGTCTCCAAGTCCGCGCAGCGCAAGCTGGTCCACATCCTCCACCAGCGCCTGGGCGCCAAGGGCGTGTACGCCTTCGAGGTCACAGTTCTGACCGCGGTCAAAGGCACGCCGTTCGACGACGGCAAGACCACCCTGACCGCCGACGCGGTGGCCGCGCGCTTCGCCGAGGTGCTGGCGACGCGCGACCCCAAGGTTTGGTGGTCCGCCATTGGCGCGTGATCTGGTTCGATCGAATCGAGGCTGAGCTCGGATTGGGGGCGCGCGGTGCCAGCCCGCCGGTCGCATGGCAGGGCGGCCGGTTTCCGCATCCCCTGTGTACAATGTCAAAAGTGATGCTGTTGTTCCCGTGGCCTTGCTTGCAGGCTCAACAGCAGGAGCTTGCTGCACGCACGCGGCGCCTGCAGCCCCATCCAGGTGTCCCACATCCGCCCGACCGGCCCTCGCGCATGTACTGCAACACACAAATAACGTTGTACCCTCTTATTCCTTTGCGCCCTTGTCTCGAAAGCAACACGCCCACGCGGCTGCTTTGTGTCACCCTGCCCTGCCTGGCACCCTGGCTGCCCCACCGCCGCACGCTTCACCAACGTGCATGGAACCCTTGTTAGCCCGCCGCTGCACACTTCATCAGCGCGCACCCTTCACCAATGCCCGAGAGCCGCCCCTGGCAGCTGCAGGGCGACCCTTTAGTCAGCCATGGCGGGCTGGGGTTTGGGTTCGCGCCCCCTTGGCACGCCGGTTTTGGATGTTTGAGGGCAGCAACGTGCCAGGGCGCTGAAAGCAGGGCCCTTGCTCTGTTACGCTGGGCCAAGCGGCAGCATTTTGCGGCTGCCCATGCAGTTGTTGCTTTGGCTCGCCAGCCTTTGACCCATTGCAACCCCTCTGTAACCATCTCCATCAAGTTTGGCGTGCGCGAGCGCTTGATCAGGGTGAGGGCCGTGGGGCGTTACAGGCGACTTCCAAATGTCCCGGGCAAAAGCAGCGGGTGCGCAGGCGCACGTTTTATGAGGCAGCAGGCCGGAAAAGAGATGGGATGCAGAAAATGAAAATGTCAACAGCTGCAGAACGCCCGGGACTTGACGCCACAGCACTCCAGACACACACAAACCAAGAGGGCAGACTGCACAGTCGCTTGCCGTTGCGCAAAGCCACCCGCTTTGGCGGCATGAGGTATATAGCGATGGGGGCCGCGGGAGGCCGGGGGGCGACTGCGGTTGGTTCGCACGGCAGGATGAGTGCAGGCAAATTTGGTGCGCACCGCCTGCGCCAGGGTGGTTTGTAACAAGTGGGTGCCCCAGGCCGGCCGCCCGCGCCCTCAGCTGGAGACATCCGGGTAAAGGGCAGTGCCCCTCACCTGCCCGGCGTCAAAAGGATGAGGCGGCGCCGCGTGCGACGCTGCGGCTCAGCGACGCCCGATCGGGGCGGGTGTATACGAGCCTCAGGGCGTCGGCGATGCAGCGGCGGGCTGCTGCTCCTTCTTGGGTATGCAGCGGTTGCCGCCTGGGTGGTGCGAGTGTGTGTAAGTGCATGAGTGCGTGTGATCGTGTGTGTGTGTGTGTGTGTAAGGGTGTGCGCGCACGCACACGCGTGCACGCGTGTGGCAAGCCAGGCGGGGGCACCCGGCGTGGCCGGCAAGACTGAAGCCGGAGCTGGAGTGCTTGCGGCAGGAGAAGCGGCAACAGCAGGTGGCGCGGCAGCTCTGCAAAACACACTCCAGAACTCACCTACCACGCACACGCACACATACACACACAAACCCACACGCGTAAGTCTTTGCAGACACTCTCTCTGTTTCTCCCTCTCTCTCTCTCTCTCTCTCACTCTCTCTCTCATACAGAGACACACACACTCACACCAGCGCGTGCCCCACCTGAGAAGCAGGCTATGAGCACGATCACGATGAGCACGATCAGGATGATCAGGGCAAAGCACAGCTTCATCTTGGTGTTCTGCCTGGGGAATATGATTAGGGCGTGTGTGTGTGTGTGTTTGTGTGTGTGTGTGTGTGTGTGCGCGTGCCTGTTCGTGGGTGGTTGGTGGGTCGCATGTGCAGGCACATGCAAGGCCGCCAAAACCTGGAGGCTGCACAGTAGGAGGGCACCGCCAGCGGCGCCCGCTGCAAAGACGGCGCCGCTCCTGCGCCCTGCTCCCCTCACAAAAAGAGCCGCGGTTCCCACCCCACGTCGGCATCCCCCGACCACGTAAATCACAGCCGTTTCCCATCGCATACCGAAAGCGGTCATGGGAGCAGCCGCCCTTTCCGACCGATACCGGCCTGCACACCCTGTTGCGGCATCCCTCCCCGACTCCCCCCCCCAAAAAACCAACAAAAGCCCGTCCAGATGGAGCCGCCCCCGCCGTTGAGCACGCACCACCACATGCGGTTGCGCAGCTGCCGCCCCTGCTTCTGGAACTGCTGCGCGTGCGCCTGCAGGTCCTCAGTCCGGTCCACCAGCAGCTGGATGCGGTCGCCGCGCGCAAGCACCTGCCACACGGCGGTTTTTTCCGCCCGCGACCAGCAAGCGTGCGATTCCCGTTGAAGGAACGACAGGCGGCGAGGGTGTGTCCGGTGGCAACAAGGCTGGCGTGCAACGCGACAGTGCCGGGGGACCCGGCTTGTGCAGCCGTTGGGTGAGAGGCCCGGGAATCTAGGGGCTCGTCTGGTCTTGCAAGAATCGACCCGCAAGCTCGCAGGGGTTGCTGTTTTGCTCGCCAACACACCCGGAAATCTGCGGGCCCGCCCACCTGCTCGATATTCTCCACCATGACAGACTGGACAGGGGGACAGTATGCGCGCACGGACGCGCGGGCGTGTGTGTGTGTGATTGCGAATGGGGTATGTGTGGGCGAGGGCCAGGGAATGGCAGCAGCAATGCAGGGGCGGCGCCGCCGCGGCCGTACGGCCGAGGTGGGATGGAAACCCTCAGAGTACGCGCCCGCGCCCTGGAAGGCCTCCTCAACAGCCTCTTCGACCCCTCTTCCCCCCCCCCCC